TCTGGGAGACAGAACAAATACCTCATGGGAAGCAGGTCTTGGCTCAGATAAAAGAATTTGACAATTATCTCAGTAGGTCAACATGGAAACGCCATTCTCTACAAGTCCTCCCCATCGGCCCTGATGAGGACCTCCCTCCCATGGTACTAAGCTTGTCCCTCATTGGTCCTCCAGCAGAAAGGCTGCACGTCTGGGCCCTGAGGCGTCCCAGCCCACTCAGTCCTTTTCCAGAACTCTCATGAGCCAGTGAGGTGGTACATGAGGATCTGGACGCCTGGAGGGGAGATGGTGCTATGGATGGGACTTCAAACCAGTTCAGGCTCTCCCCAGAGTCAATACGATGGGGAAATACTCCATTCCCCAATTCCATTATGCTTAACTATGCTGTGAAATGAAGGGGGGAAAAGATATTGTCTCACATGACTTGGAAAAGTAGCTCCAAACAAAATCGAATGGTTTATAAATGTACTTTTACAGTTAGAACCTGGTATATTACCTGTACATAAGAGCAAACAATCTCAATTCCAATGTTGAGAATCTCACAGAGCAGCAAATAAATTACTGAAAAATAACTAGATTGTATGATACTGATACATGAATGCATTCATTAAACAAACATTTACTGAGTACCAGCTATGTGATCGATACCGTTGTAAGCACCAGGAATTTGGAACACACTGAGGAATAAGGCAGACAAATCTACTGCTCCAGTTGGAGGGCTATAGGTAAACAATATGGAGGTCATCGGGACCTTGACAAGAGCAGTCTCAGTGGTGTGCTGGCAAAAGAAGCTAACTAGGAGGGAAAATGAAAGAGAACTAGGAGACCACCTTTCTGGTTCTGAAAAAAATAATTTCAAGTGATTCTGTTACCATTTCTTTAGATTTATTAGCGCAGGGATTTTTAAATAGGCAGCAAAAAACATTATTTCACAATAAATTGTCAATTTTGTGCTTGTTTAAAAATGAACTCTGCTTCATTTTCCGTGGCTTAGTAAGATACATTCAGATTAACAGTGTCTGTTATTTGGGGTAACATAATGACCGAGTGACACAGTGATATTTACTCTTTTAAATTTGTTAAGGTATGTTTTATGGCCCAGAATGTGGTCTATCTTGGTGACTATTCCGTGCGAGCTTGAGAAGAATGTGTAATCTGCTGTTGTTGGATGAAGTAGTCTATAAATGTCAATTAGAGCCAGTTGATTGATGGTGCTGTTCTGTTCAGCTACGTCCTCGCTGATTTTCTGCCTGCCGGGTCTGTCAGTTACTGATAGAGGGGTATCGAAGTCTCCAACTCTAACAGTGGATTCATCTGTCTCTCCTTGCAGTTCTATCAGCATTTGCCTCACATGTGCTGTTGCTGTGTTGTTAAGAGTATACACATTAAGGATTGTTATGTCTTGCTGGAAAATTGGCCGCTTTATCATTTTGTAATATTTCTCTATATCTCTGATAAGTTTCCTGCTCTGAAATATGCTCTAAAATTAAAACAGCTACTCCAGCTTTCTTTTGATTGTGTTAGCACAGTATATCTTTCTCCATCCCTTTGCTTTTAATCTATGTACGTCTTTACATTTAAGGTGGATTTCTTGTAGACAACACGTGTTGGGTCTATTTTTTTAATCCATTCTGATAGTCTTTTAATTGGTGTATTTAGACCGTTCATATCAAAGTGACTGTGGACATGGTTGGCTTAATGTCTGCCATATTTGTTAGTGTTTTCATTCATTATCTTTTGTTCCTGTTTTTTGATCTTCTACTCTTTCTGCCTTCTCTGGTTTTATGAGCATTTTATATCATTCCACTATCTCCTCTCTTAGCATATCACCTTTACTTCTATTTTCACTTTTCTGAGCAACTGCCTACAGTTGGCAATATACACTTATGTTTCGCAGGTAGTGCAACTACCTTATAACAGAGTTCCAGGCTCTTTTTTTGTTGGACTGAAACCCAGAAGACATGGTGGTGTTTATTTCACAATTAAACACACACACACACAAATGTGCCATCCAGACACACATGTTCCCTTATAGTGTTACCATGCAACTTACTCAACCAGCCCTCGACATTTTGGTGAAGCTTCTTCCAGGCTTTTTCCTACGCAGTTCCATGAAGTCTCTAAGTTACCAGCACTAAAGCCAAAGGCTAGAAATAGAATATCGATTTCTGGGCCAGGTCTGCCTATCCAAGAAGTCCTCTATCTCAGCTACAAACACTGGGAAGCCCCTGCAAAATTCCATGAAACGTGCAGGTCAACTGGGCAGTGCCCCCCATTGGAGTGCAGAATTAGGCATGAGGGCGTGGGGCTATCAAGGTCATGGTGCCATTTTCCTCCAGCAGTTAGAAAATTGCTGCTAAAGACCCCCAGGCACATCTCCCAATCCTTCTTTCCAGATGGCATCCAGTCCTAATTCTTTTGCCCTCCTTCCAGCCCTTCCTCTGCCCTTGTACACTTGGGAATCCAAATCAATAGCTTTTTGTAAGATCAATGAGAAAGCAAATTACCTGGTCAGTCCCAATCGCCAAACAAGATTAAGTTGGCTAAGACAAAAAAAAAAAAAAAAGACCTAAAGTTACCAAAACCTTGATTGCAGTATCTCTGATGGTGGAGTTATAGCGGTTTTTATTTCCTTCTTTTTGGCTAATCTGCATTTCGACCGGGAAAGGTAAAACAAAAAGGTCAGGATTAACGGGCTACATATAGTAATATGATGTTCTGCTTTAGATTGGTTGATTATGTCTGTTTTTAAAACTTTACTCCTAATTTGTCTATCAAGTTTTGCTCACGGGAATCCAGAAAGAATAGTATCAGGAACACGTAAAAGAGCGATCTGAACACACACTGGCTCTGGGACTTCAAATCCAGGCAGGGATTACTCTGGTCTCTCACCTACGGCCTGAGCAGGATCTATGGGGAATGGACACTTCTGGATTCTGCTAAAAATAGAACTTCCCTGCTGCTCTTCAAAAGCAGCCGCAGTGCAGAACTACCGCTGGAAAAAAAGACCAACAGTCATTTGTATTGAAACGCGGCAACCCGATTTTAGCTTTTAAGCCATTCTTTTTTCTTTTTTTAAACTCTTTGTACTAATGTTTCCTTTAGAACAATCTCAGAATTTTAAAAGGCTGAATGAAAGAAACCACTGATCTGAGGTATATCACATCACAGAATCAAAATCTAAGTAAAATACACTAATGTGTCTTTTCAAGGAATGGGCATAACCACCCATGACCCCGGCACTCTCAAACAACTTGGCAATATGAGTTTTCCAGAAATGTTCTGCGTTTGCCGCTCCTGTAATGCTATCCTTTGGCACAAGAACGACAAACAATAGTTTACACAAATGTGCGGTACCTAGACTTGTGGCTATCATCAAACACACACCAGCCCCATTTACTCCCCAGGGGGTGTAACAAGGTAAGGGTGAGAGATCTTTAGAGGAAGAAAATTGCTAAATAGTGCACGGTCCAACAACAATACAGACATGTCATCCATTTAATTATCTACTTCAGGCACTGGACCAAAGGATCTCTCTTCGTATTTGCTATTGTTCTTTTCTTTTTATTGTAAGCTGTGCTTGGCAGGTGCAACACAGAAGAGGAGGAAGAGGAACAAGAAATGTCAATTATGGTTTAAATTCATATGTATGTCAACTCAGTATTCAGGCTCCTGGCATAGGACCATCCTGACCCTTCTTCTAGGACCTTGCTGCTTCTAGGAACTCCTCGTTCTATCATTTTGAACTTATTTACATTCAGAGCATAGAAAACCTCTTCCAGTAGGGGAATGAGTGGTACCACTTAGTCTACAGTTTTTATTTTTCTTTTTTAATCCAAAGCCATATTTATTACGACATAATAGAAAAACATTAATTAAAACTGTCTCAATAATTATTTCTTCAGCTATGTCTACGATTTTGGAGTATCTGACCATTGTGTGTGTATATGTTTTTAAATTCCTCTATTTTTCCTTCCAGGATTAATTAATGGTTTTGTCAAATGTGCTCAAACTTTTATGATATCCCGTTCTTCTACTAGTTTTTTTGAACCTCTTTAAATATCTGAAACGTACTTTAAGATCTCTTTCATAGCTGTCTCTAATTTTTAGGTTCAAATTCTCCTTTTGGCTCCTGTGAACTCCCCTTCATGAAGGCCTAGTTTCTGCAGAGACTTAGAATTGCTAACCGTGGTTTCAGCTTCAGCAGGAGGTGTCTGCCTTGGTAAGTATGACAGGTCCTGGGTTGTAGATGCCCAGGGCAGGCTTACATTAGCCTCTGCAGGGGGCCCAAGAGCTGTCTGTACAGCATTAGTTGAAGTTTTTAAATAATTTTAGACTTAGAGAAAAGCTGCAACAGAGTGCTTCTGCATACCGTTTACGTAGCTTCCGCTAATATTAAAGTCTTCATAACCACAGTAAAGTTAGCAAAACCAAGAAATTAACCTTTGCACAATCCTGTTAACTACACTATGGACTTCAGTTGGCTCTCACCAGTTTTTCCTCTAATCTCCTTTTCTCTTGTTCCAGGATCCCATCCACATTTCCACATTTTATTTCGTTATGTTCCACTGCATTTTGTAGTCCCTTTGCTTTTCTCAATTTCAAGGGGTTTTTACTGTCTTGGGTTTCGTAAACAACTACAGTTCACCCTACTACCTTTCATGATTATACAGACTTTAATCTTCTCATTTATCTTCCTAGACTGTAGAGTCCTAATCTTTTAATTCCAAAGTGGATCTGCTTTTAGTGGCAGCATCCCTTTGATTAGTGGGTAGCAGAAACACAGCACACAGCGAGAAGGGAGTGGCCACAGGCAGTGTGAACGAAGACAAGTCCGCAAATTCCACACACTGAATAGACTATTGTCAACTCACTTCCTTGAAAAATGAAAGTGCTGGGTGTTCTCCCCAGGAACACAAAAATAAGAGAAGATCTCATTCAACTCTGACATTTTACAAATGAGAAGATTATCATGTTGCAAAGGAAATAACCAGAAGATATCATTTGACACCAATTCATAGCATTTATTGACATTTCCATTTAAAATGCTAGGAAAGCTGTATAAATTGTAAACATGGAAACCAAACACTTGCATAAATTATTTCAAAAACTCTACAGCACATTAGAAAACAGTGCAGCTAATTGAAGGGTAGAAACATAACCGACAAATAGAAGGGAGGGTTCAATTACTAAATCATATACCCATACTGAAGTTTAAGTGTCCATTTGAGACCAGCAAACCATGATTGTCAAGTTCAAGTTGCAGTATTGAGGCCCCAAGGGGCCTCAATTTACTCTGCATATTTTCGTACATTAACACTCATAATCTAGGAACGAGAGTGCAGAAAGAGTCAGAAGAACATGGACCTTGACAAAGGAGGAGGAGACAAGCGGGCATCCCAGAGCGGCTCTGCTCAGCCCCCCTTTCCCGTAAGGACAACGCTGGCCCAGTCTCCATGCTCCCTCCACGATGCTCTGAGGGACGGCAAAGTTGAGTTCTTCCTCCCCTTTTCTGAACCAAGCCCTCTGGTGCTTAGAGCAACTGAGCTAATTGGTGGAGCCTCCATCCCTCGTGCCTCCTCCTTGCCCCACAGGTCCAGGAGGACCAGTACAGGGTATCTGGCTTGAACCTGGCCCTGTACTATCCCTAACTGGCACACTTAGGGAGTCGAGTTACGAATGCTTGAAATCTGGTGGGCATGAGACTACGATGCTCCAACTTGTCCAGAAAGGTTCCATGGAATCAGAGACTCACATCACTTACATTTCCATCTCTGTCCCTTCTACCTATTCACTCTTTCTTTAAATGTGAAGTGGCCCCAGAGCAGGAAAACCTGGAGCAAGAAGGAAAAGCAAGGAACGGCAGAATTACCTACCCTGTAGGAAACTCATCCGGACTAGAGTGCCTCCAATTAGGACATTCACTCCTTCCCTCACTCGCTCGCCGGTTCCTAACTTTGTTTCATCTTTCCAAAGGCATTTAATATTCTTTTCCTAAATTTCAATGCTGCTGCATGTTCTTAAGATAAATTCTCAAGTGTCCTGTTACACACACAGCATGGAATTAGGATCGTACCGTGAGGTTTCAGTTTTCAAGTCTTCTTAATACTAGAGAAAAAATCACCTCCAAGAATATCAAAAGAAACCTGAAATATACACACTCCTTGTTCATTGGGTGATGGGTGCAAGCCTATTACCTTTTATGAGTATGTTACAGCAGTTGCTCATAGAAACTCTTCTCACCTGTTATCTGTTAACGTGTTGGATGAAATGCAAAAATGAAGTTCAAGTTACCATCCCATAAAAACGTGTTTTGGGTTCAAATGGTCTATGTTCAGGTAGAGAAGTGGACTTCCCCACACTCCTGTCGGGGACAAACGTGGATAAGCAGGCTCTGGAGACTGGCTTTGGAGACTTGCTCTGGAGGTAGAAATGAAATGGCTAAAACTCAACTAGCACTGAAGTCAGCATGGTAGTTAAGACTAGAGCCCTCTTCCCCCCGGCCCAGAACCTTATCCCGCTTTCCTTCCAACTGACAAATTCATTCATGGCTAAGAATCTAGTATGAAAGGGACAGAGAAATTTAATGATTAACCTGTGAATCACTGCAAATGCAAATCAGCGTCCGAGTGATCGGCTTGGTCGCTAGAGCACGAAGAGGTTGTGCCAATGCAGTAAACACTGACCCTGTACACAGTTAAATGGGAGGCTCGTAAAGCACAGAATTCCTTGTTTCAGCCCAAAGCCTTCAGGCGTACCCTCACCTGTGCTCTGCATCACAGGCCTCATGCCCTGAAAATCTGGTTGGCAAAAACCCGCTTAGGCTGCTGCTCAAGAGCCACGTGCCACCAAAATCAAAACAGACTCTGAAATAAAATTTGGAGAAAAATGTGTAGGTAGCTGTAAAGAAGTCAAATACATTTCTTTATAACCCACTATGTTCCACAAAGGATTTAATGTGCTGAATGCTGACCACTGAGATCTGCTCTAAGCAGTAACCCTCGGTGGAATACTTAGCACTCTCTCCATACTTTACATTTGCTCCTTCAGCGGTTCTTGGGACTCTCCCCTCCGCTCCTCCAGCCCGGATCTCTTCCTCTGTAGACTTTCTTCACAACCTCGTCATTTTCTTGCTGTCTTACTGCAAACATATCCTCATAGGAACACTTCCTCCTCTCCTTTTATTGAAACTCCCTAAACAGCGTGGTTAGGGATTTCATCCTCATATTGTAGCAGATCAAATTCATTTTCAATGACAGCTTCACCCACTTGCTACATCCTTCCCCAGGCCCCCTCTTGGCTCTTCGCACACCATCTCGCCTTGTGCCCGGGCGGCTCCCCCCGTCTTCAGTAAAGTAGCTTCCGAAGTTGACTCCTCCCCAAGAGCCCACCACTTCCAAATGTGCCACTTCCACATCTTCTTCTGATACCTAATGCACTTGTGTACTTTCAATGCATTTTACTGATATTTAAACCATTGTACTTATCTGTATCGTCCATCTTTTATACCCGTCTGTGTTATCTGACTTAGATTCTAAGATTGCAGAAGGCAGGGCTCAATGTTGACTTATTTGGTGCCGGAAACAGCAGAAAATCAGCAGCAGAAAGATGTTTAATAAATGCTGTTTGAAAGTTAAAGGTGAAGGAAGTGAATTTAAAGCAAAACAGGCGAGAGGAAGAGGAGTCACAGGGGGCCTTTAGTTTTGCTCTGGTTACCTCCATGTGAACTCATTCACCAGTAGATCATAGTGTATCACATTGTCCATCCCAGCAGAACCACACAGATAACATTGTACATTTCACAGTGCTTTGTGCTCCCTCCACAGGGGACGTTTGCACACATGACCATCACAGCTGATTCTCACAATGAGAAATCCTGGGAGGGGGCCAGGGAGGTCTGTCCTCGTTTGGCTGATAGGGAGAATGAGGCTCAGAGAAGGGACCTGACACAGCAAATGAGTGACAAAGTAGACTCTGCAAATGATCATTTCTCCAATCTTCTCTAAAACTCTGACTCAAATTTATAGCTCGTGTTATTACCACTAAAACTTTTAAAACAGGAAAAAAGAATAGACATAACATTTAATTTTTCATTTGAGAGTGCTTCAATATATGGAACTCCAAAGCTACATGATAACCAACTTGAGGACCTTTCTTTCAGGTGGATCACATTAACTGAGTGTCTGAAGACCCATCTGAGCATGGTGGTACCCAGGACAGAGAGTCTGTTCTGAGTTCGGTGATGGGTAAAACTGCCGGGGCAGGTGTTTAGCGACAAGTGCAAACTGAGTGTGCTTCACGGCCAACACAAGAGTGCTGGTGAACCCAAGGGCCTGCTCAAACCACACCACTCACCACCACTGGTTGTTTATTATACGTTACCTTTGGTCCTGAAACGGTATAAAAGTGTACCAATTCTAAGAATAACAATACAGGTAGAATCCTTTTATGCTCGTTTGAAAGGCATCAAAATTGCTATCGCAGCTCCCTTTAAAACAGAGGCCCGTTTCTGCAACATACAAGGGAGGTGACCCTTTTTAGTACACTCTGCGTGCAAACACTTAAGACCTTGAGTAGAATGGAAGAAGAGGGGCCTGCATTTATTCCATTAGCTGTCACATGATCTGAATTCACTGTTAGATAAAATTCTGCTTGGCTATCTGAAATTCTTTTTTTTTTTCTGCTTTATCTCCTCAAACCGCCCCCCCATACATGGTTGTATATCTTAGTTGCAGGTCCTTCTAGTTGTGGGATGTTGAAATTCTTAATAACATTCAGGAAACCTGATATTTCTGGTGGACATTGCAAAGAGAATCCTCCACTTGGGGGAAAGTCTGGTATTAAACCAAGACCAAGAGCTAAGAACCAAGCCCAGAGGAGGGTCTTCTCTCCCACGCTCTTTGGGGCCTGTGAGGACTGCCTGAAAAGGAGTTTCATTCCTTTATTTAACATCCTGGAGAGACCCTTCTCCTGCCCACTCCTCTTTCAGAGGGGCACAGATAGGAAATGACTACATTTGAACTTCCCAGAACCAATTTTCCCTAAACTACAGGTTTGTATGACCGGCTTAATTAAGGAGGCGCTGAAACATGATTCCAGAACCCAATGCTGACACTTTGGAATCCTATTTTAGCTGTTTCAGGGTTCTTAAATTTGGCACAGATGCACAGATTTTGATTACTCAGAGCCCCAAATTCTGCCTGTTTATCTATTGTTTAATTAAAAGTATTAGTTGATTTAAAAAAGAGGATTATTATAGTGGAAATCTGTTCTCCAGGTCTGTTTTTCTCCTGAATTTCACTTAGCTCATGGGAAACAGAGAAGCCCTGGTTGTTATATTTCTTATTCTAATTTGGGAAGTGGGGAAATGGTTACTTCAGGAGTAAATCTCAATTGAGATGATACCCTCTGTCAGGGCCAAAGTACATCAGATGGTTCTAACAGTCACTCAGCAGCGTCACGCACAACAGAATGAGGAATTCGGAGCAGCTCTCTCCTTCCCTCACAGTCTCAAAGCTCCTCTTTACATTTCTTGATTCATTACCGAGAGACTGAACCACAGTCTCATCTCCAGGTGTCGAACACAGAGAATTAGATTGCTAGGAACGTATTCATGAATAACAATCGGTGGTATGAGGAAGTTTTAAAAAGAAGTTTTGCTTATGTAAGATTTTTCATTCAAACAGTTTGTGAGCAACTCACCAGCAAAGTGCAAGGACGGGTTAGGACCTCCTGAGAGCCTCATTCTACAGGACTGGCCTTAATGCTGGCACGTGCTGAACGGGATGCTATCGGCAGTTGCACGTGCCCAGTGAATTAACAGCAAATACAATGAAGAATGTAAATCTAAATTTTGATATGTATTTTGAATAACCAAATAAATACTAAGCTTTCCTCCCCTGATTGGGAAGGGTTTTTTTTCTTTCTAGAACAAAATGAAACCTTCAACATATTCTTCCGTTGATAAAGCCAAAGTTGCATTTCACACACATAACGAGAAGGGGCTCTCGGAGCTGTAGCACCAGAAGAAGAAGGAAAATGCAGATGATGGCTTCAGTTTGGAATCCTCAGGCTCTACAATCTATCATTTGGTTTCTCACTAGTAGCTTTTTAAATTCCCGAACAGTCTTAGTATTCTTGTTGTTAATATTACTATTAAAATAAGTTCCTATGGAGAAAAAGAGGGAAATCAAGCTGTTAATAAAATGTCTTCAAATCTCTTTTCTCAGAAAACAAAGCAGCAGGTTCATCGTACAAACCAGTCTGAATCACATCTTCCCCCGGAAATGCTGGATCCTTGAATCCCTAGACCCTCTACACATTTTCATCTTTTGCCTTTAAAAAGAAGACTAACTTGGTAATTTTGTTAGCTTAGGTTTGTGGTTTGTCTTTCGTGAAGTGCTGCTGGCTTTTGGCCCAAAGTATGTAAATTTCGATTGAACCCAAGTGGTCACAAAATTGCCAACTTATTTAAAAGCATCATGAGCTGTCACGTGACTTATGGCATCCTCTAAAATTGCAACTTGCTCCTTGACGTGGGCACCTAGTCCAGGAGATGCTCGTCCTCTTACAAACACCCATTCAGCTGATTTCCTTTTAGTCTTGCTTCCACGGGAAGCAGATACTTGGCAAATCTGCAAGGCGAGGCCCATCAGCTGTGGAAGTTCTGCACGGCGGTCTGTTTCTGGGAGAGCCGGAGGAGCTCCTCACGGATCGCTTTGATGAGAGAAGCTGAGGAGTGGCTGGGCTGGAGGTCTTCCGTGGAGCTGGTAGGGTAAGCCAGCCCGGCGCCTGGCAGCCCCCTGTGTGGGAGGTTCCCGGGAGGAGCTGAGGGCTCCCTGCCTGAAGTCCTTGGCACCTGGAACAGCGGTGAAGAAGAATACTCTTGATGGCCGAGCATGTGTGTCTGGAAAACATGGCAGATGTTACTGTACTTCCCATGTAAGAACAGGAAGGAAAATCAGATTCAAACTGGCAGTGGGCATGCTCCCAGGACCTCCTCTGCCCATCTCCCACCCAACAACTCAGCCCTCCAACAGGCCCCCTAAGACCAGAACAGAGAGTAGTAACTGTGGAGAAATTGTCTGACGGAGAGTGGCACAATAAAGAAACCCTTGAACTTAACAGGTGCCTAATCAATATTTGCTTAAAGATAGAATGAATGAATGAGCAATACTCTCCCATTCTGGGTCACAGGGAATTTATTACCTAAAAACTATAAGCAAAGGGGCTGGCCGGGGGCGTAGCAGTTAAGTTCACATGCTTGGCTTCGGTGGCCAAGGGTTCACAGGTTCAGATCCCAGGCATGGACCTAGCACCACTTATCAAGCCATGCTGTGGCAGGCGTCCCACATATAAAGTAGAGGAAGATGAGCACAGATGTCAGCTCAGGGCCAACCTTCCTCAGCAAAAAGAGGAGTGGCAGCAGACGTTAGCTCAGGGCTAATCTTCCTCAAATACAAAACAAAACTGTAGGCAAAAATACACTCGGGGGGGAAAAAAGTGAGGGAGGTTAACTTTTGCATACATAAGTTTTAAAAAGAGATCCCCAAAGCAAAAGTAGCTAAATTAAGTGATCGTGTCTGAATTCTCAGTGATGACCCAAACACAAGATACTCACGGCCTCTCTGCGCCCTGCTTCCTCCTCCCCGTACGAAGGCCAGCCTGGTCCCCCGTACTGGGCACCTCTGCTCGCTGGGATCTCCACTGGCTGAGCTCCAATTCTGCTCGCAATTCCCACCTGCGTCAGGTGCTGGATCTGGGAGCCTGAAGGAACACAGTGGAGTGGCCTCGTCAACACTAGAGAGGAGTGGGGCTGCCCAGTAAGACACTTCAGGTCTGCACCCCCTTAGGGGCAAGGGATATGAGCATTGTTCAAACATGGCACAACTTCTCTTTCCAGAGAATGGCATTTCCTAAGAAAAACAGACCATGAGCTTCTTGGTTCATGGGCTTTTACTTCCTTTTAATAACGTGGCTGATAGAGATGTTCTTATTCTCCTGGCTAGACATTAAAGGACAGGGAATAAAGGGTATAATGGAGGCCCTTCCATTCATTTCTGTAGAGGTTACAAATACAGGCGATCTTATTTATTCCGAAGAAAGGAGTGAAAGGTTTTGGAGCCATAAAGCAGCTGAAACCCGGCTCCTTCTTGCTCGCAGCTTTGAGATACACAAAAGGGGGAAACTATAATATGCTTATTTCTTAACAGGCAGAGCATAATTTATTTGAACTCAGAATGTTAAAGTACATTTTTATTATACTCACATTGTTTCCATAACTTAGCTACATCACAATTAAAATCTTAAAGCCACCACCCAGCCTCCTCCATGAGGTGTACCGATGGCAAAGCCAGAAGGCTCTCCGAGCTCACTCGACTACACTCAGACATGCTGTAGCTCAAGCGGCTATAAAGGCTAGGCTTTAAACAACGTATTTTTCTTCCCCATCAACCTCTGGCATATGGCAGTATCCTTACTCTGCAGATGAAGGGAGGAAAAAAGTGGTCTTTAAGCACTGTGAAATGAAATCCTTATATCCAAATGCTCCTAGGATCATCAAATTCATCTGTGATGCTCAGACTGGTCCTACAGTGGTTCAGAGATTTCAGAGGTAAGATAGGTGGCCCTCTCCATCTTCAAGTCTGCTCCTACTCGTCTAATTAACAGCCTCCATTAATCAAGTGCATCTAAAAACTGTAATCTGCAGGACTTGTCAGTTACCAAAGATTCAAAACAGTCTTAGAATTATTAGAACCATCAGTACTGTTTGCCCCACAGACATTGTTTGAGTAAATCTTGCAAAGAACAGAAACGCAGCACAATGTTCTCCACCATCTACAAAGACTCAGACAACCGCACAGAGAAAAAAAGCACAGCTTTGTGTTAAAATCGCAATGGTGGTTGAAATCATAATTCAGACACAGTTTGTCTCCTGCTTTGTTCACTTAATGATACAGCACGGGTTTCCCCCAGGATTCAAGTGGGGGCATCACACCCACAAGCCTGGGCTCCAGCTCAGCCACAGCCAAGCCCCGTGACCTTGGGCACCCGGCTACGATTCCTGCCGAGCCTTGATGCCACACTTCTCAAATGGGGATAAAAAAACTACCTCATAGTGTTATTTCAAGGATTAAAGGAGATAAAAGTAGGTCAAGTACCATATACATGGGAGGCAATTGGGAAATCTTAAATTCCCTTTTCCTGGCTCTTTCTGAGCTCTTCATTTTAAATAGTACAATTTACTCACTGATGCCCTTCTTACTGGGTATTTAGGGAGATCGCAATTGTTCGCTATAATAAAGAATGCTCCGATAAACATCTTTGCACATGTAGTCTTTCTCCAATATTTTGGGTTTCTTTGGGGAGGAGGAGCCTAGATTCCCAGAAGTAAAATGACCAAATCAAAGGCACATGAAGTCATATTGCAAAGCTGCTTTCTAAACATCTAATGATTGAGGCCATCACTGGAAATAAATAATAGCAATAATAATAACAACTAATATTCATTGGAAGTTTATGATAAGCCAGGCACTATTTTGAACACTTTACATCTGTCATCTTCTCTCATCATCTCAACTACACAGGGAGTAAGTACTAATATTATCCCCATGGCACAGAAGAAGAAAGTGGATGCTAATTTTACCACACCACGTTATCATGAAAACAAATCTCATGATTGAAATGGTGCCTCCTCATGGTTTTTATTTGCATTTCTTTATCATTTTAAAATCTGGCATTTTTCATGTTTACTTTCATATGATACACAAACACGTTTCGTTTGCGAATTCTTTCTTCCTGTCCTTTGCACATTTATCTTTTGAGGTTTGCTCATTTATCAATTTATATGAGCCATTCTCTGCAATAAATATACCTCTTGGTCATACCTGCTGTAAATCTTCCCTAGGCACTATTTTCCTTTTGGTAATTTTTAGATATATACATATTTGATAATTTTATATAGTCAGAAGGGGAACTCTTCTAGTATGTCTCAATTTTTTTCATTACAAATTTTTACACAATTTAATCTCATTAAAAATTACTAGAAAATAACTTCCTCTTCAAATGTCTCATACACATAATTTTTATATTCTTCTAGATTAAAAGTGAGTATGTCTGAATTTCGTTTGGCATAAGAGTTATGCAACAAGGTTCAAATAAGCAACAATTAACAGGAGAAATAAGACTTTCTGCAAAGCTTAGCACCTGTGAAGTGTGGGAAACCCTGCAGGACATCAGGATAAATTATTTGTTTTGCTCCCTGACAGACAATGCAAAATATAAGAACTGCCTAAACGGCTAATGATCCACCAACAATTACAAATTTGGAATTGGCCTAAACTAGTTCCTTGATGAACTTATAAAAGTGCATATTGTCCAGAAAGTTAGAAAATAGCAAAATAAATTATGTAATATGCAATGGCTCCTCTTATTAAAGCTTCAGTCTCTTAATAAACCTTCAAACAGGAGGGTGAAGAAATGAACAGGGAAAATAAAAGGGTGACTTTGAATCCTTGTAATAAAACACAGTAAGAGAGGTAACAATGAACTGTGAGGATTTCTCAGAGTATCCAGAGCTGTATAAGAAACAAAGCTCAGGATCTTAAACTACACAGATGCTTTTAGGTACACTGAACAAGATTCACAAATAAAGCGTTTATAGCATCAGCTATTCAAAAGATGAAGTGTTACGACATGAAACAGTAATTTTTAATTTTAGGGTACATGACTGGACCTCAGGTCAACTGGTGGGGCAACCAGCCACCTGCCACATGAGAATCTCAGCTCAGCCGTGTCTGCTGCTGCTTGTCAACTATGAGCAGCATCTCTCATTATGGGTTTGCGGAGGAGCTCTTAGCTGGTCCACTTATACTTCTGTTGGACTGATTAGGGAAAGCAATTATAAGGCACAGCAGCATTTGAAAATTTGAGGATTTACAAAGATCTCAGGACAAATCCCTCATAAACATCAGGCATCTACTGAACTTAAGGAGGATTTGCTCTGGATTCAACTATTAACGCGAACTCCCAGGAGACTCTAAAACAAATGTATTTTTTTCTTAAACAAATGTATTTTTTTCTTTTCTTCTCAACTCATTTTCTGAAAATCAATATATTCCTAATGTAGCTATAATTGAGGACACTCAATGCAGAGAACCTTACTTTTTTGCTTTACAAAATTCTGAGGGCCCCTCCTTTTCTCTAATCTTTACACGCATCTCAAAAAATGACAAAAATTAAAAGCAGTTAGATTGTTAAAATACAGGTGTTATAGCTCTATTTCTAAAAAGCAAAATTGAATCATGAAAAGAAATTTAATCCATAAATTGCAATTGTGGTTTGAAAATAAAGACCTGTATCTTTATGTTGAATATACTAATATTATACTTTTATAGGTAAACCAAATCATGCATAATGTTTCTCAAACAACTAATTAAATATACTTTAGAAGTTGTTTTTTTTTTTTAAGATTTTATTTTTCCTTTTTCTCCCCAAAGCTCCCCAGTACATAGTTGTATATTTTTAGTTGTGGATCCTTCTAGTTGTGGTATGTGGGATGCTGCCTCAGCATGGCATGATGAGCAGTGCCATATCTGCACCAGGATTCGAAGTGGTGAAACCCTGGGCCACCAAAGTGGAGTGCACAAACTTAACCACTCGGCCACGGGGCCAGCCCTAGAAGTTTTTTGAAACAAGATTTATTTTCTCTCTGGCTTCAAAATTTCCAGAAATTAGATACTTTAAACTATGTTCTTTCAAGAATATAAACTGAGAACTTTCTACCTGCAGATATTCTGATATAGATTTTTATTTGAATTCCAACAGGTAATTAAAGGAAAACCTAAATACTAAAAGGAAAGAAGAGTCATGTGCAAATACTTAAGTCTAAAAATGAATTAGAAAACCACTATAGAACATATGAGCTTTCACTGTTGAATTATCAGGTATAGAGCTGCACCAATTACCCACGAATGACGCCTAGAGTGTTCTTTTAACGAGGGTTTGAAAGAGGGGTGAAAAGGAACTAAAACAGTTCCACATGACCACCAGCTTGCCCCAGGCCCTCCACCGCCGACTCTGCCCACATACGTGACAGCAGGAGGGGACAGCAGGACTCAGGTATAGAGGCATTAAAAATGACAAGAAAATTTAAAAAGGGAAGATGATGATACTAACAAAGGCAGAAGGGAAAAAATGAGGGAGGTGAGGCTCGGGGAGAAAAAACAGTGGTTGTACCCTCCCAGAAATGACAAATAAAACCAAATCTCCCTCCAATCACTGTCCAGCAACTTTTAGAGTTGCTTATTACAAGCTGGAAAAGTACCTTCTTGAAAACAAAAACTTGTTTTAATGCCATACCAAGAGCTCAGAAATAGATCTTTCAGTTTACTGTAAGAATTCAGAAACGTTTTCCCTCGAAGAGTATGCTGTGAATTCCATGTAAAGGGGCTGCTTTTGAGACACTGATTCAGGAACAAATCAGAGGACATCCATCTTGGCATCTCAGCCACTCTCTCCCTTCCCATCTCCCCTGCCTTACATCTTCACTAGGATCCAAGGGAACACAGCTCTCAACCAATGGGAGAGGCTGCTGAACATGGGGATACTGATACCCTGGGAAATCTAAAATGCCCTCTGCCGGAAGTTAGCGAAAAATAGCCACATGTACCTGTGGTGCCACCGACGGGCCGAGGCCGGGCCACTGACGGCATCTCCTCGGAGTAGATCCCTCGGGCAGCAAATGGGGCATCAGCTGACGCCTGTGGCTGCTGGGGCTCAGGAGGCACCAGCTCCGAAGACTGCAGCAAACCGGGGCCAAAACCTGGTCTGAAGGCAAAGCACACCCCAGCATCAGGACCACACTTTACCCTGGCTCTGGTATTTTATTAGGTCCACCCTCAGCCCTACAGAAAAAGAAGAGCTATTATTGCCTTATTATCCACCTCCTCTCCCGGAACTTGAGCTCCCTGAGGGTAGTGGCTTTTTCTATTTGCTCACTGACAGGTCTCCAGCGCTAAGAATGGCGCCTGGATACAGCTGATGCTTGAGAAATCTCCATCAGATGACTGAAGAAGAAATGCTTTAGTTTACAGACCAAAAGAAGGCGCAGGTGATGTTCCAGGGCCGGTTCACCTCCAGAATCTGAGTAAAGTAGTGCTTCTCCAACCTTGGTTGCACATCAGCATCACCTGGGAGCTTTATTTTTTTTTCTTAAAGATTTTATTTTTCCTTTTTCTCCCCAAAGCCCCTCGGTACATAGTTGTGTATTTTTAGTTGTGGGTCCTTCTAGTTGTGGCATGTGGGACGCCACCCCAGCACGGCCCAATGAGCGGTGCCATGTCCACACCCAGGATCCGAACGCGTGAAACCCTGGGCCACCGAAGCGGAGCATGTGAACCCAATCACTTGGCCATGGGGCTGGCCCCTCACCTGGGGAGCTTTTAAAAACCCAGTGCCCACACTGCACCCCAGACCAATTAAAACAGAATCTCTACAGGCAGAAGCCAGACACTGGCAGTTTTTAAAGCACCACTGATGAGCCTGTTCATCATGGCAGTGGTTCTCAAACTTTTGGTCTCAGGAGCCCTTTACACTCATGAAAACTAAGGACTCCCAAGAGCTTTTGTTTATGTGGATTGTATCTATAGATATTTATTGTATTCAAAATTAAAAGTGAAAACAACTTTTAATACTTATTTTAAAAATTCATTTAAAAATAACCATATTAAACATATTATATGTCAACATTTTTCATGAAATTAACTATATTTTCCAACCCTCCCCCCAAAAATATTAGGGAGAAGAGTTTTACATGTTTTTCAAAACTCCTTAATAGAAGACATCTGGATTCTCATATATTTTGCATTCCATCCATTGTTGTAAGTTATTTTAAGAAGAAAATCTGACCTCACATAAATATGTAATTGGAAAAGGGAGGAATATTTATTCAAATAATATTTCAGATAAATATTCTTCTTTGATACCACACCAAAACTCAACAAAGTTTCCTTGAGGGTTAGTGGCAATGTGGAATCTGAAACAATATCAATGAACTTTTTTTCATACTCCGTTCACATTAAAATCCACTGGTCTATCTTGCACTTTGAATGGCCCTATGTATGATTTTCTGACATCAATCATTTGGAAAATATTAGTTCACTGCGTTATGCAGACTTTCTAGACATTGATACATTTCATTTTATTGTATCAAAAATCACATTCACTACTATCACCATCGAGCTCATCGGAATCGGAAAAGTCTTTAAGTACCAGGCAGCTGCCAAGTACACAGTGGCAGACAAAAGTTTCCAATTCCAATTGTCCCTTGAAAGCTCAGTTTTATCATTGGCAACAAATACTGTCAGTTGTTCTTGAAATGATAGGCTTACTTCCTTCATTTTCAAAACAGCATCTGTCAAACACCCAAGTTTGAATAACAATGTCTGCCAGTTGTTTGCTCAAGTAAAAAACATGCCAGCAGTTAGCTCAGTTCAGTTTTCAACTCAAACTGAACAAGTGCTTTTCCTTTAAAATTCCATATTCAGCACAGTGTTTTACACGTGTTTCCTCTTTTGTCACACAGACTATTAAAGACTTAAGGTTTAATAAAATTGATTTTCACTACATCATCAAGGACATACTAACATAAAACTGGCATTTTTTAAAAACTGCGATTGCAGAGCGCTGAAGAATGTGATGAGCGCTCAAACACTTTGGTGCCACTGCCTTGATTCACGCTAAGTGAATCAATCACAGCAGTTTCACCCACCATTGCTTCTGCACCTCAGTGTAAACATCAAGAAAAAAGTCAAATAACGCCTTAATATTATTACGAAACTAGTTTTGACCTCACAGACCCCCAGAAGGGGTCTCAAGGACCCTCTATGGTCTGAGAGCCCCACCTTGAGAACCACTCTTCTAAAAAAAGTCAGGAATAAAAAGAGACGACAGTCTAACTACAGTTCTTTGCAGATGACAATCAATCAGTTATTAATAGATCAAACCAGTTTGATGAGAACGTAGACTGACTTGCCCTTATCTTATGGTGTTATTTCTTGAGTGCATTTCATAAATTGAAACCCAGGCTATCTATATCACTCTCTTTAACTAACTACTGCTTTCAGATTGACGTCAGAGAGAGATGTCTGACATCTCCTGCTTTCCGGATCTAAGAGCTTAACATAAGGCACACTCCTTCTTCAGGATCTGTATGTTGGAGCGTGCCTAACCTAATCATACTGTCTGCACCATCCACCCAGGAACTAGCTCTTGCCCTTTACTTATTTCTACTTTACCCAATCAGCCCCCGTTGCCTACATTTGCATCCCTTTTATCCTAAATTGTGTGCTCAGGTAGTTCACATGATCCAAATACTCTAGAATCCTTTTACTTGAATAACCATAAAATTGATCATCCAAACTAGAACACTTTTGAGAGTGAAAGTTATTAACAATTATGCTGGATAACAGGTGTAAACTGAACCGAACTGAGTAAAACAGATCACAGGGTCCCCAGTCGTTAACTTCTGCCTGGATCACCTGAGTTCCACCTGTTCCCTTAGCCTTTGTTGCTTTTGGACCACAAAGCAGTGCCTGGGTAGGGAGGAGGGTTGAGGAAAAATAAAACAAACCCCTCTGAAAATGAGAACGAATAAAGAAAAGAAAGGGGAAAAAAATGAGGAAGCAGATAACATTCCTACTTCTGTGTGATTTCTGGTCATTGAAAGGATAGTTGAGTATGATTTCTGAGATTAATTCTGTCTTCCTGAAATTCCTTCTTTGTGACAAACCATCTGTCCTATCGTGTGTGGGTCTGTTTGTGGACACTCTATTCTGTTCCTTTGGTCTATTTGTCTAGCTTTACAGTAATACCACACTGCCTTAACTACTTAACAGTAACTTATGACATTTAGAATAGTCCTAACACCATACTCTTCTTTCTCAAAGTGTCTTGACTATTCTTGGCCCTTTGCATTTCCATATAAATTTTACAAACAGCTTGTCAGTTTCCATGTATTTGAAAAAAAAAAAAACTACTGGAATTTTGCATGAGATTACCATGAATCTGTAGACAACTTGGGGAAAACCAACATTTTAAAAATAATGAGTTGTCCAATCCATGAACATCTTTCTCTAGAGGACTTGAATATCTTTGGTTGGATTTATTCTGAGATATTTTATATTTTTGAATGCTCTTTTATGTAGAATCTTTAAAAGTTACTTTCTGTCTGTTGCTCATAAATCGAGATAAAACAGATTTTTGTATATTGATCTTGCATCCAGCTACTTTGTAATTTAGCTATCTTGCTAAATTCTTTTAACTCTAACAATTTGCGTGTGGACATTTTTTTTTTTTTTTAAGATTTTATTTTTTCCTTTTTCTCCCCAAAGCCCCCCAGTAAATAGTTGTATATTCTTAGTTGTGGGTCCTTTTAGTTGTGGCATGTGGGATGCCGCCTCAGCATGGTTTGATGAGCAGTGCCATGTCCGCGCCCAGGATTCGAACTGACGAAACACTGGGCCGCCTGCAGCAGAGCGCGCGAACTTAACCACTCGGCCATGGGGCCAGCTCCTGTGTGTGGACATTTTAAGATTTTTTACTAAAAAATTATATCATCTGTGAATAATAACAGTATTATTTCTTTCTCTGAACTCCTCAATCTTTTTGTTTCTTTTTCTTGCCTTATTACACTGGCTAGGATCCCAGAGAGCAATGCTGACAGAAGTCATGCAAGAGGGATCTTTGTTGTGCTCCTGTTCTCAGAGGGAAAGCTTTTAACATTTCACCACTAAGTAATATTTGCCAAGATACCTTTTATCAGATTAGAGAAGTTCACTTCTATCCTTTGCTATGATTTTTTTTTACCATGAATCAATGTTGAATTTTATTAAATGTGCATTTATTGAAATGAGAAGATTTTCTTCCTTTATTGTCCTCCAAGTCGTGAATTAGATTGCTTGATTTTTTTAAATGTTAAATCACCCTTGCATTGATGGAATAAATCCATTTGGTTGTGATGAGATATCCTTTTGTATACACGGCTGGATACGTTTGCTAATATTTAGTTTCCAATTTTTTGCATCTCTGTTCATGAGTGAAACTCCCCTTAATGTTTCCTTTCTTGCAATGTCTTTGTCCTTCCTGTCTTGTCCTTGGTATCAAGGTTATGTGAGTCTCATTAAATGAGGTGAGGAGTGTTCTCTCTTTTCCTGTTCTTCAGAAGAGTTTGTATGGCATTGGCATCTTTTCTTCCTTCGGTGTTTCTGGGAGAATTCACCGTTGAAGTCACCTGGGCCTGGAGTTTTCTTTGTGGGAAGAATTTTAATGATTTTAATTTCTTTAATAGTTACATGACTATGCATGTTTTGTCTTTTTAGGAATTTTTCCACTTCAAATTTATTAACAAAAATGTGCTCATAAAATCTTCTTAAAATCTGTAAAATTTTTTTTAATCTGTCGTTTAAAAATCTGTCAAAATCTTTTTAATTTCTGTAAAATCTGGATTAATATGTCCTTTTGCATTCCTCTTATTCATAATGTTACACAGATATTTGATCAAGCTCTCCTGGGGTTTATCAATTTTAATAGCCTTTTTTAAAGAACTAACTTTTAGTCTGTTGACCTTCTCTATTATGGTACTTGTTTTCTACTTCATTAATTTCTATTCTTCTTATTGTTTTTTAGAGATTTTATTTTATTGGCCCTGACCTAACATCTGTTGCCAATCTTTCTTTTTCTTCCTCTCCCCAAAGCCCCTCAGTACATAGTGGTATATTTTAGTTGTACGTCCTTCTAGTTCTGCTAAGGGGGATGCCGCGTCAGCATGGCTTGATGAGCAGTGCTAGGTCCACAGCCAGGATCCAAACCAGCAAAATCCTGGGCCGCAGAAGTAGAGCCCGCAAACTTAACCACCCAGCCATGGGCCAGCCCCTCTATTCTTATTTGTATTCTTTCCTTCTTTCTACTTCCTTTAGATTTAATTGGATCTTTTTAAAACTGAGATGGATGCTTAGATCGCTGATTTTCAGCCATTTTTCTTTTCAAATATATTTTGAATCATTTAAGGATCAAAGTGTCCCCTAAACATGGCTTTAGATGTAGCCACAACTTTTGATATGTTGCATTTTCATGATTCCTTAGCTATGTGAGTCTATCAAAAGTTTTGCTCAGCTTCTCAGCCACTTTCTCCTGAATCAGCAGGTGCCCCTGGAAGGAAGTAGCTCAAAAGGCAAGGCTCACCTCCAAGATCACCTGGATCTTGGCTCCAGATCACTTCACTGCCCTGTTAGCTATCTGGGTTTTATTTTTTTATTTTAAAATCTTGCCTAGCTTTTCCAGTTGTCCTCAGCAAATTATCTAATCTGTCACTACTGGAAGCAGAACTTAAATTCCAACTTTTTTTTACCTCTTCTAATTAGATCGAGAGAACACACAACTCAGAGTTTTGCAACTGCCCACATCAGCTAAAAGAAATGAGTTTATAAAATTATAAAAACAGCCTATGTGAGAAAGTCCTAATGCGTTTTCTCCTGAAAATCTTACCTCGGCAATGGGCCTGAAGGGGGAGTCATTCCATAGTCTTCATATCTCTGGAAGAAATTAAAAAAAAGACGAAGATTAACATTCAATACTTATTACAAAGTGGCAACAGCAAATTTATAAATTTAGGTTTATAGGATCAACTTCCAAGAGAATTATTCCTCATAAAAAGTTAGCATGCTTTTGGGGCATTCAGCCATCAAGTAATGTCAGAAGTTTCAGTTTGGGGAACTGGGTTGCGAAGCTTTGAAAAACAACTAATTTCTAGACCTTTCTCTTTCTTTCATAAAAATTTGAATAACAGACAGGCTTTCTGCACCTGCTCTTCCCTCCAGCTGATGCTCTACAAAACTGTATCATCTGCTAAACATCGAGGCCCCCGTGCCACATTTAGTACAAATGACTCTATCAACATGGACCACGATGGTGACCAGGTCCGGTGAGTACCCAGTAGCAATTCAAACACACTCAAGAAACTAAACTGTGTAAATGCTGTACCATGTTGTAGAATGTTGTAAAAAGAGAAAGGATATAAAGACAACTCGAAATTAGAGAGATTCTTAAAGATGAAGTGAACACCTTCAGTTTCTGACAGTTTTCTGGCTCCAAGGAGGCCCAGCCATACCCCTTGCCCTTAGATTCCATATCCTTTATCTCTTTTTACTTGAGCTCATCTGAGCTAACCAAGTGCTCTATGACTAAAACAATATATTATCAGATTTAAAGAAACATATATCGAGGTTGCAGACCTCATGAAATCAGCATATCCTAACCCTAACACACATGGGACTCCAATTTCAAAATTTCTTTCAACAACTGTGAATCATTATTTTGGAATCAGATATTTTAGTAGGACAGTAACTCTGGATCAAGTTCATCCAACTCCAATAGTTTGAACCAACTGGCTGTCCAGGATTAGGACCTCACAGTTAAGTCACCAAGTCAGCCTTGCTTCTGGACCTGCTCTAATATTAGATCTTTATTTTTTTTAAGCTGCCATTTATTGAGCTAGTATTTTGTGGTAAGAACTGCACCAGCACTAACTCAGGCCCACGGTAACACTAAAAAGTGCTCACTTTCTCTGTTTATAGATGAAACCAACTCACAAAGAAGTTAAGTAATTTCCTCCTAATAAGTCTTTTTGACTCAAAAGACCATGCCTTTAATAACCACTACACTGCACTGCCCATGGTTCCCCTAACCAGACTTTCCCCCTTGAAGAAATCTCTACTTTACAGAGAAAAAAGTAGAGGTTTTGGAGTCAAACAGACTGGCCAAGGCTTTCCTGGGCTTTTTTCCATACACCAAGAAGGATATAACACTCTCTACACCTCACGGAGTTCAAAAGGATTATTAGATATGAAACTGTGCTCAGATTACCTTACCTTCTGACCCTCTCTGCTTTCATCCCCTTGGCAGAGCGAGAGAGATTAGAACCTTGCAGAGTTCCCCCACTGAGGTAAAATAAGCCAAAGGGGATTACTGAAGAAGGGAGAAATAGGAGGGAAAGGAGCTTCAATTCTTTTTCCAAATAATTAAAGAGAAAGCTGAGACTGGGGAAAGATTATTCACAGTGGCCCTTGTGCTTTCAGCACAGTTTGGATTTTTTAAACCTATTCATATGCAAAATAAAAGAAAAAAAGATCAAGACTTAGCAGTTTACCTATCAGGATTTCAGAAGGTCTCATAAGAGATAAACTAAAAGAAAAACAGTGAAAAATAGCTGTCTGCTCTTTATCTGTTTTATTATTGTAGTGCTAGGCATTTCAACTCTATTGTAGTCAGAAAAAGTCATTTTTTCTAGAGACTGCATGTCCCAATGAAAAGGTTTTTAAAAAAGTCGCAGACAGAATGGCAGGCATTTACTTCAAATGGGTCACACTTGTCTAAAAGTTTGAGGGACAAAATAGAATTTTAAGGTTTCAATCAGCTATGTCAATAAAAATCCCATTTTAACACATCCCTTCTTTCTAATCAGGAGAAAACGGGCCAACAGAGTGAGAAAGGCAAGTCAAATGGGATGGTCCTGCTTGTAAATGTCTGAGCTCAGGTATCCACACCTGCCACTTAGAGGTCTACTCCAGGGAGGCTAACTTCGCTCAAAAAGGAAAAATACCACCTATCAAGTGGCCTGACTCACCAATGCATGAGGAACACCCCGATGCTGGCAACAAAAGAGCAAAAACATCATTAGATGGTAAATAAAGGCTTATGATGTAACTGAAGGCACCTTGAAATCCACATTCCTATGGTTTTTACTGTGGCCAGAGACAGAGAAGCAAATAAAGGGTGATCAGGTTTCTCCTGGCAACAAACAGTACCTTTACGACCAATTTATAAACATGCTGAAATTATATTAGATATGCACAGATACAACCAATGAGTCTGGTTTTCCACTACATTAAATTGCTATCATTCTCATTAAAATACATAAGGGTAACAGCAGAAGTCCACGATGAGGAAACCACTCAATAACAGTGTTTATAACACTCTTGCTATGCATTGGAATTCTTGGTTGAGACGGAGATTAAGGCATTATCACAGAATTGTTAATCTCCGACACCTATGAACAATGAGCAAATAAAAATAATAAGAAAAATCTGTCAAAAATTACTGCTACAATTCATCAACAAAAACCATACAAGTAAAGAAAGGAACAGAATCATGCCACAAACTCAGAAGAGTGGTGGCCAAAGGAAAAAACAAACGATTCTGGCAACACAACGGGGGAGAAGTTGACTGAAGGGTAAATAGGCCTCCTGGAGAAGGGAGGGGGTAAGAATCAAGGAAAAACCTGCATAGCAGAAGCCCCTAAATAGCACAACAGGGTGTCAGGAAAAGCAGGAAGGACCATGGAGTTCTGCCCTATCTCTCAAGTCATCAGGCTGGGTGTTAGGGGAGCACAAGCTCTCGGGAGTTCAGCTTGCTCTGCCTGGGGGGGCGGGGGGGGGTGCATTTAGGAGCATGAAAAGTGCAACACGACTGCTAAAGAGATGGCAGAATGAGTCCCAAGGAGGACCGGACTTAGCACACCAGGCCCCGCCGTGCCCTTCCTCCACGAAGTCAGGCTACGGAAGCAATCCTCAACAGTGACACAGGCCCCAAAGAGGATACGAAGACCACAAAGGTGAATGTACCCACACTCCAGCAAATCAAAGTGAAGTCAGGCAAGAGTTGCCCATCTTAACCACGAACCGGAGGAAATCAGAACGGCAAGGCAACTCTGCAAACATTTACAGCCAAGAAACAAGCAAACACACACACACAAGTTTCAAAAAATGAATGTAAGTAAAAGACAAAGGACCTCGTCTGGAAGAAAATACAACAGTCAGAATTTCTACAAGTATGTTGAATTATAAAAGAACTTAAGAACAGCAATTTTTTTTTAAGTTCAATGACGAGATGATAAAACAACAGAATGAACTGAAACGGGAGACCACAGACTGTGGAAATCATTTGAGGACCAAAACCATGCCATTAAGACTCTAAGAAATCAACCAGCAAGGAAAGGAATAGACATGACTTAAAATCAAATTAATGTCACAGACAAAAGACCTACGATAATCATAACGAGGGCAGACAGGCAGAGAAAAAAGAACAAAGTAGCCAAAGCAATTAAAGCACTAGGAACACAAAACAAAGATGAGCCAACATAAAGACAACTGCTATCTTCAACTCCAATATATGGAATAGAGTAAGAAAACCAATTCAGAAATAAAACTAAGTTTCCGTAAAGTAAATGAAAGAGCAGAATCTGAAGATAAAATGAACACAGGCTCTTCAGGGGGAAAATGAAAACTTATTAAGTGCCAAGAACTATTTAGGCTTCCTCGCAAATAGTATACGTACATCCCCTACAAGGAATGGGGGAATTAACATGGCTACAGATTTCTCTACAGAACAATTCAACAAGCACTGGGAGCAGACAGAAGTAACATGTAGGGGCCAGCAGTGAACAAGTTCAGGTCGTAAAGCGAGATGGGAACTTTCCCTTTGGAAAACCCAAGACTAAATTAAGAGGCTCCTCGGAGGTCTTCCTCTTCATTCCAAGTCCTCCTGTCATCCACAGGATGCATCTACTGTGTTAGCCTCCCAGCTCTTCAGCCCGCTCAACATCAGTGAATGGTATTTTACTTGTCAACAGCCACCCTGACATCCTGCACTCAAGACCAGAGGCAAGGAGACAATTAGGACGTTCCTGCAATAATCTTGGTGAGAAATGATGGTGGCTCCAACTAGAGTAATGCAGTGGAAGGATTTGAGAGGAAGTATCTACAGAGCTCCAGCATCTTTAATTGACCCCCAACCTATACTTTCCCTTTCAGCATATGGTCCATCATCACTTCAACTGCATCCTCTAGAATCTGCATATCTTTTGCCAGTTGTCCTTCCATCACATCTGCCTGATAAAGCTCCAGTCCTGGATCAATCCAACTACCTGTTTTCTCCTTGCCTGCACCTAGGTATTTGGATGCCAGTAAACAAAACTAAAGAACTTTCATTTGTGCCACTATAATTTCATGATAATCAATCTCTACAGAGGCCTCAACACTGCTAAATAATTATTCCTATGTCCCTAATCTGTTTTCCCTCACTCTCCACAATATGTCAAATCTCTACTCTCCCTCTAATCTCTTGCTTTGCCACACTTCTTCCCTTATTCTCAATAAACGACTGCTTTCTTCACTGTGAGAATAGAAGCCATGATGAGATGGGTGGTCCCTCAACTTCCTGCCACCCAACTACAAACTTGATTGCATCCGTACCCAACTCTTCCTTCCTCCTTCCTATTAAATTGGAAGAAATCTATCCCCTTGTTTCTAAAGATAATTCCTCCATCAGTGTTCTGAATCCCATCTTGTATCATCAAACTCTCCTTCTACACTGCCTCAGAGCCATCAGCAATTAAACATGATTCTTCCTCTTGAATCCATTTATTGCATTACACTAGCTGGGGCCATGAACATCTCTCACCAGGATTATTGTAAAATCTTCCTGATTGTCTCCCTACCTCTGGTCTTGCACTCTGACAAACCATTCTCCAATCTAA